GTCAGTGTGAGATTTAATGGAACGCTTTCTACCGCATCGGCACTCGTCTGCGCAAATGTCAATCTGATGAATTCCGTCCCCAGGCAAAAAGCAGTCCTGGAAGCAGCTTCCACAGGCATTGTCAGTCAAGTACTCTTGCGCAGAATTAGCTGGGTCGGCCTCTAGAATTCAAAAAGCGAAAAAAGTTTTTAGTTTTCGCAATGAAACCTTTAAGGGCGAAAAAAGATCATTTAATTCTAACCACGCCGACCAGTGGCTGTACAAAAGCTATTGAAAAAAAGGCAAGGTTTTTTCGGCTGTTTTCCTAAGTAAGAGAATAAATAGGTAATCAAGTGCGTACTAGTGCAACAATACTTGCTTAGTGCACCAACATGACCAAAGTGTACAAAAGTAAGTAAATAAGTAAGAAATTGTACAATTCCTACAATGTATTTGCTTGGTCAGCATCAACAATAGCCGCCGTTTCCTTGTTTTTGCTGCACGACTGATGGATGAGGTGATCACCTCGACAAGATATACACTCGGTTATGCATAAATTACCCCATTTCATCATAACCTCTTATAACCAAACATTATCAGTAAGGCATAATGTTATTTATGTCGATACAATATGCCTTCGTGGTCTACATGTTTGGTCTTCCGACTCGCATCAATCAAACTTCTCTTTCTGAAGAACCAATCATTTCTATCGTCCTGAAGAAGTGTTCGTATAAAGGAGCATGCGATCCCCCGTTCGCGTCCTCTTGCCTTCATCATTACGACGATTACATCTCTGCGAAAAAAATTTCCTTCCCCCTATCCCTCTTTGCCATGAATCGAGAGATTTTCTATACGTTTATGACTTAGTTTATTCATTGGGCGAATTTCTTGCCCCACCTTTGCTGAAAATAACATTTTGCATTTTGTATTTTGAGTTGCCGGGAAAGGTTCTGGCATTGGCCGGTTAAAGCGTCAGGGAGGATCAGGTCATGAAATGTGAAAGAAAGCTCAATCATAGTCTCCTTTTTGTTTGGAAGAAGTTAAGGGAAAAATACCACACTTATGCTTAAATTGAGGGTTGGAAAACAGACCAAGAAATCTGTGCTCACCCTGGTGCCTGGTGCTCACCTTTATCAGAACGAATGGGCGAAATGCGACGACACGTAACGATGGCAAAAATAACTGCCAGCAGCATGAGAGCAAACGTGGTCTTCATGACGGCGTAATCAGGCTCAACAATATACAAAACCTAAAAGATAACACAAAATAGAGGAGCAAAATTCCAACAGTGAGAGCTGCTACCAGATTGAGTGAAACATAAAGATAACGGTTCAAAACAATCGCTGATGATGACGTCACCGTACTTACAATGTGTCTTTCTAGAGATTACCCAGTGCTATACCCAGCACTTTTGAAAATGACGGAGTTGTTGTGTTGATGCTTTGTATAATTGATATAAACCGCTTAGATATTAAACTTGAAACTAGCAATAGTTATACAGGCTCGCTTTTTTTTCCATCAAGAATGTCAGGAAACTAGCGAAGAGTTTCAATGTTCTTCACGTTACCATAAATTACATGTTGAGGCACCAGATAACCTCAAGATTTACTTTCGGGGAAAACTTCTCGTTCTGGGATTCTTATTGAGAGATTTGGCCGATCAATCTCCCCGACCACGCCTTTCAACCAGGACTTAAACCTTGAGCTACTGGCCAATTTCGATTGAAGACGGCATATTCCTCCCGACCGTGGAGAAATATTACTTAATTCTGCTCTCTTATATATTCCGTCCGACCAGAAGATAATCATGCTTTAAAATAATTTGTACAGCAAGTATAAGAGGATTCTTACCTCTCAATCTTTATGCAATTAGCAATGAAAGGGGCTCACAAATTATTTCTGTATTTCCCTTTGGGTCAATGAAGTATACAACTTTATTGAAGGTTACTACAGACTATACGTTTTTGGTATCGTAAAATATGATGAACGTGTTAGTACAAAGTAAAAATAAATGTGGGAACGAAGTGCCTTCAAGAGTCATCACATTGCCTTAAATGGACGGTTTCGGAAAGGCACGGATCAAGACCTTTTTAGGCAAGACTAAAATTTTTCCATTTCGGTTTTCTTTTGATACTTTTCAATAACAGGAGCCGGCAACTCTTTCCAAACTTATATTTCAATAAAAAATGTCTTGTTATTGCCCTGAAAATTGTTAATTAAAGTTACGTTCGTTAATCTTTTCCCGTTTGATTAAGTGCGCACCCTGTACTGATAGTTCGTTAAGTCGTAACGGCGCGTTTATCGTTAGCATCCGTTCAGCTGCTTAGCTTTGCGGTAAGCCTATAGTTTCATATTTAAATTGTGGATTCTCTGAAATAATTATTGCCCCATGTTTGCCCCATTTCAAGCTGTTTCTTACTAAGCTTGTAAAGACATTTTTTCTGACAACGTTTCACTTAATCTTTTGCGATGTGTCTTTCAGAAACAGCCGCCTTCAAGTCCTTGAATATCAAGAAAAGTTGCTTTTGTGAACTCGTCACCTGTATAGCGATCTATAAAGATCTATTCAGCTTCACTAAATGCAATTATAAGGCTACAATGTAATAACAAGCCTAAATGTTATTCAATTTAACGCTAAAAGTAGAACATCAACCAAGCTGTAATTTGAGAACGTCTAAGAGTAAATGAAATGGCAACTGAGTAATAAAATACGAACCGTCGAACATTTTTTTAACATTTTTTTGCCGATAGACTCAGTCTAAAGCATCTCGAGCTGTTTTCTGGTGAAAAGGCTGACAGCAAATAGGCCGTTACCCCGGCCTCATTGCTCCCCGTTGGTGTGATTTTTCGCGAATGATAAGAGGAGGGTGACGAGGGTGCATGTATATTCGCCAGCTAGCCTGAGAAAATCGTACATTTATGTCGTACGATATATTAAGTTCAGCAGTAAAATCCCATATAAAATCTTTTTCTACCTAGGACTTTTCTCAGGAACTTTGAGTCCCACCTAATCAATGAAGCCTGTAGTCATTATATATAGTTAAGGGGGTAAGTGTCGCTTTAAAGAGGCCATGTCATGATAAGTTTGACGGTTTTTGAGCTGTTACCAAGTATTCTCAGTAACTGATATTTTGTCATAATTGGAACTCTAACTGAATGATATCAAATGATTCTATCAAAGAGAAAACAAAGCACGAACGGCTTATTTGGTCATTTCTCAACAGCATAAATTCGTGATATCTCAATAAACCCGATGAAGACTGGTATTGGCGAGTCGAAATATCGCAACTTAACTCTATTTCACGTTGTTTGATCAGTCCCAGCAAAAGTCTTCTTGACTGTAACGTTTTTAATTTTATCTATTTTGACTGATCACGATCTTTTTGGATCCCACGTTCAGCAAGATTGTTCGTACACGGTTTTTGCAGTGTTTTTTTTTTCCTTAACTAAACACAGCATATAAGGTTAGTTGCCCCAATTTTTTCAAGTTGTAATGCGTTTCCATCCTAGCCATCGAAAGCCAGACATGCATTATAAGTTGAAGCATAGAAATAATTAAGTAATTTCAATGACATTGAACCGCACCGTTATTTTAAGGTTTTCTTTCATTTCAATGTGTTTCTAAGGTTTTAAACAGTACTGAACAAAACCTGGTGAAATAGCTCAAAATTTTGCTTTCTGCGCTTTCGAATTCGAAAGCTGTAAGCAGAGATCAGGGATGAAACTACAGACATCGAAGTGCTCGACTTGTTAATTATTCTCTAGCCCGTTTGACGGTATCGCGCTCTTTGAGTTATAGTTCAAAAAGCCTTGCCCTTCTACAGAAGTTCGCAGTAAATGCTGTCTATGACGTTAAATCTGATGACGTCACAAGTGACAAAGGGACGTGAAAGTTATTCATCGAATTTCCTACTTCTTCCCTTCTTCACGGCATGATCAAAAGAAATAGTAGGATTCCTCGGAAACGGTTTGAGCTAACAGGTAACGGCTAGGTGGGCCAGCTTTGACAACTACTAAATGTTACACTTCTTTTCGCTTCAGGTTTTACAAGCTAGAATCTAAGGTATTACATAGCCAAGTTGTTTGCTTTGAGCTTTAATTGCATTAAATTAGCAACGGGCTTATCATATTAATTAAGGCTCTCAGTTGGCGTTAAGGCTTATTATATTTTATATGGTTGGTGTTTCACAAAGGGAACAGCTGCCCTGTCAAACTTCGTCAGTTGGATGTTAGCCGACATTCGAGCTCGGCTGAGTACGCATTAAAACAAAAAGAAAACCCCAGCTCATGATTCAGCTTATGTTCCTCAAAACTATCTTTGAATTCATGTTTAACACGTACGGCTCGACCGGTAGTCTTCCCACGGAAAAAAGTTTCAAATGTTATATTTGACGATGTATTTGATACTTGGCGAAGAGGTCTCGTAGTCAACGAGACGAGCAAGCGTCCAGGGGCCAGCTCCGTTATCTTTTTCATTCTTTTCTCTCTCTCTCTTTTTAAGAAATTCTTTTTCTCTCTCTTCACCTGAAGTCCACGAAGTTTTGGGTTACACGTGTTTACATGTATTTTAATTTTTTGAACAAAGATAATTTTAACAGATCGCCAGTTTTATTTCCTTCTTTTACCGATGGATCTTTATGAGACTCATAATTTTGAATTAATCACTGGGCTACCCAGTATTGAAACAGTAAACTCCCATTTTTTTTTCCGTCTAAACTCGTACACGAGACATTTACAGTGGCGAGGAAAATTTACGTTTTCCCTTACTTTGTAATTTATTCAAACAGTTGTTATGTTTTGGCTGATACTTTAAACAATTTTTGGACTCTTGTAATTCCCTGCAAACACTTTTTTTTTCAAACCTTGATGGAGCAAAATTATTTTCGACACTTTTTGTTGTTGTTGTTGTTGTTTTCTACTACGAAATAAGTAAACATGTTCAAAGGCAACATCACGCAGATGGTTCACTTTTAAGCTTACATTATCGCTTTCTGTGCTTTCCCTAGAAAAATTGATAAATTGTTAGAAATTTCCAGAAAGCATTCTTAAAAGTGGAATAGAAGATGAATTACTAGTAAGTAGAATTTTACTAAAAAGACTTTATATCGGCTTGGATCTGATTTACTAGGAGTAGAGTCCATTCTCATTGTCCACTAACCCCGCCCCCCGAAAGAAACCTCGAATCACCTTTTAATTGTTAATAATGCCGTGGAATAATGTTTTCTTTTTTGTTGGAATAGACTGGCAATAAAAAAAAATTGCAAGGCAAAAAGAACAATACGAGATCGCGAATAGATACCAATGTTTGCCCTTTGCACTTCTACCGTACCCTAAATCGTCAGATGGCTTTGGCTTTGGATTTTTCTTCTGGTAGATTGCCGTCATAATCAGTGTGTTCCTAACTGTATATGGGAGGCGATTTTTGAAGCCCTTTGCGGACGCAGAACGTTTGGACCCTCAGATTTTTTCACAAGTTAGTAATTGCAAGCAAACAGCTTTCAGTTCTCCTCCTCACTGTATGCCTGCGTGGCCTTGTAAAAAGCAATATTTATCCAAGGGCCTTTCCCCAATATAAAATAACTTAATAAGATATAAGGGTCGCCCTTTGCCTCTTATCCGATGTTGTCAAAAGGTGTAATACAAATACAGAAATTAAAAAAATGCAATTTGAGTACTTAAAACCATTACCGTCATTTTCTAAGTTTTAGTTTTCTTTTCGCCATCAAAGGAGGGAATACGAATAAAAATGATTTAAGAAAGTGAATAATAAAAACTACCTTGTGTTCTTTCAACTGTGTATCTTGCTTCCTTAAGCAGCGCAACAGGAATAACAATATTCCTTTCTGATCGAGTCATTTATTGGCAAGGACTGAATTCCAATGAATTTCAATTAAGGCCAGGTGTTAGTTCCTTTTAGCAAGTAAATGTTTGGAGAATAGTCAAGCCAATAACCACTGTTTGTTAAAATTTAAGACTTTTTTTCGAGATGTTACGGGGCGATCGTAATAATCATTATGAGCGTAACGAAGGTGCCAAAAAGTTCCCTAGACGTGCAAAACAAATTGAATTGCCCATTAAAAGAAATGTTCCTCATTGACACTTTTCTGCCAAAGGTGACCACAGTCAATATTCACCAAAATATTTAGCTTTCATTTTATTTGTAAAATGCCAAAAAATAGTACCTTGTGTCAGTATTGTCAAAGAAGTTTCGTTTGAATAGTTACAATGCAGGATTTCTTCGACATACACAAAAGTTAGAACCACCCTAGGAGACGCCATTTCACAGTCTGGCAATGAAAGGGTGAGGATTGGACAACCAGCGTTAATGGTCAATCGAATCCCATTTGCTTAATAGGGTGTTTAACTGAATCAATTTCATATGCTAATTCCAGCAAAAAATTGCTTGAAGTAAGTGCGTAAACAAGTAAGAAACTTCATTTACGCGTCTAATGCGCAAACACATAGGGATATTTAGTAAATAATAATGGGAAAAGGATTACCAAATATATTCTAAGTATTTGTGCTTGTGTTTATTATAAATCACCAGTCGGCAGATTTAACAAGGATACACATATACGCCCGCCCGTGCGTACAGTTGAAATCTGGAAAATATACTTTTTTATTTCCTGAAAGCATTTTCAACCGTCCAATCGGGACTGGACAGATCAATTTTTTGCATTAAATCGGTGTCTTTGCTCGTCTGTAGGGTAGACGTCTCCCCTTTGCATCCATCCTCCTTGATGGCGTCACTATTTTACCCTTTTTCGCGTAAACACTGATAACACTAGAGATGGCGGTAAAATAAACATCTATTTGGTTGCTAAAAATGCCCTGCGTCAACTGTAGGAAATGGTTAAAAATTTTCTGGTGGGGCATGCCCTCACACCCACCTAGTTTGGAGCGCATTCGGAGCTCTAACTTTTCTTCCAGTGCCTACACCATCATAATCGCAAGCTACGCCCCTGGAGTTGTATTGACGGCAGTTCGGACGAAACTCAAATTGCTGGATTCATAATTTGGTGTCATTCACGGGAGCTAGAGCTGTTCGCTTACACGAGACGTTAATTAGCCAGGTTCAACTTACTGTATTCGTCATTTTTTCTGTTCAAATACATTTCAGTCAAACCATTTTGATTGCCATAATTATTGCCATTCAGTGAGAAGTTGACGTTTTCCTTAGCCCAAACACAAAACAAAAAATAAGGTCGTAAATTACCTTTCTTGGAGATTTCCTTCTTGGACAGTACAACAACAGCTGTTAGTAACAGTATTCGAAATTGATCGACTCTTTAGTTTAATTTGCTAGCAAAAAAGGCAGAATCCGACAAATCCGACCTGACAACAGTTAAGGCTGCGTGTTAGTTCTTTAATGAACAACATTCATCAGTTAAGGCTGGGTGTTAGTAATTTAATGGGCAACATTTCATGCAGAATAATCAACAATGAAATGTATTTTTGCACCTTTCTAGAATACTGATTTAACGAATGAGTGTCAGGGAGAACACCTGGCCCTTTAAGCCCCAATATCAGCATACAAATTCTCAAGACTTATCTCCTTACATTTCTTTAACGAGTTATTTGAAAGAATTTAATAATAGATAAACCCTTTTATCTTTGGCGATAACATAATTTATTTTCAGAAGCTTTTGAGGATGTATTGTTAGTGTCAGGTGAAAATAGATGTTGGTCTGTATTGGGACTTAAGGTTTTAATGACGTCGTATTACATTCTTCTTTTACCTAATCCAGCAATAGGCTGGTTGTCCTTGAGTCCTGCATGCAAGACAGCAAAATAGTCATTGTATCTGGTTATAAGTCATTTTTCGTTCTGGGTTTGGCCAGAGGTTCCGTAAGAACCGAGTTTAAGCGCAAAGATATTCTCTAATACATTAATTTTGCCACTTAAGAGTGTGTCCAGCAGTCTCAACACCCGTATGCTATAGTTGCAGTTTTTCAGCTTAGGAAACTAAGCCGGTAATTTACGGAGACATTCAATGCATTTCTTTATGAAAAATAAAATGAAATTGGTCCGTATTATCGGGTGGTTCGAAAATCGGTTAAAACCTCAGCGTTTGACTAAGGAATCGGGAGGAGTTAGTTGTGTTTCGGTGAAGAATGTTAGAAAAACCGAAGATTCGAGGAATCGGGATTCTACACTGGACTCATCTCTGATGTCTGTTAAGAAAATTTACATTGTGATTTAAACTCAGGTAAACTACTCAGCACCGAATACGCGTCGGAAGGGTCATTCAAAGGAAGATTTGCAGTTCTTTACGTAACAATGTTTCGTTCTGTTGATCACCCGGGGTTAATCTGAGTAAGGAGTGTTCAGCCATGTGAATGCGGTAATATATCTAGCCGAATTTTTGAAAACATACCTCAAAATGGGCCAGAATATTCGCACAGAAAGCTGGCTATAGCCAGGTTTCTGGTCACTGAGGTGAGAAAAAACATAGGGGGCTTGCTGTCCTGGTTGGTCTCATTGTCAAGCTCAGTCCCTGAGCTAACTCGCCATGGGCTGGAAAGGGGCCTCCATTGGCCAATGAAAGCATTTCCCTCAAGCACGTGCTAGGCTCGGGGGGGGGGGTGGAGGAAGTCAGGGGGGGGTGATTTAACCCTGAATTCTCTGCTTAGAACTTGGTTAATTCTCAAGCATCCTCCGTCATTTAGGGCCTTTAAGCAGCTAGAGTGTATGGACAAGTCCAGAGTGTCTTTTTGATGGACTTGAATGTTTCTTTTGCTAATCAGGAACCAAGACGAGAGTCACCTTAAGAGAACCATGGGTAAGAGCTGAGTTTCTTGTGTGTGGGCTCCTGGAGTCCGATGGTACTATTTTCATAAATCCGGCTAGATATAAATGGTGATAAATCATTTTTATTATTTTTTCTTTTTTTCCTTTAAGTGCTAGCGAACTGAATTTATTGAGGGATCTAACTTTGCATTTAGTTAATAACTGCAAAATGAGACTAAAAATTGCAGTACCTTCTAGCATTACTGGAGGCGTAGATTGTAACGCCAAAGACTTTACATTACCAATGGACCAAGTTCGTTATACAAAAAATTCATGGTTCCGAGACTTGGGGAATGATAAGGATAAAAATTACCTGAGTTCATACTAAGTCTGAAGGTAATTTCTTTTGTTATATTCCCCCAAGCACTGGATTCACTTATATGTATGAACTTTAATATATCGAAATTTGTCTATTGTTGTTTGTCACCCATCTGAAGGTGGCCAGAAATGAAATACAGTGAAACCTCTATATAACGATTTTCATCAGTTACCCCAGTAATAGTAAAATATATGAAAAAGAACCTCGATATCACAAAACCTCGTTACAGTGAACAACTTTTGCCAGTCCCTTTACCCTTTGATTGTCATCTGTAGAGGCACGGTTTTGAAATTATTCTAGAAATCCTGAAATAACAGTTTCATCTTTTGAAAGATTGTTGATTTAAGTATGGAAAAGTAATGCGAGCGAAGTTTCCCGATTATCATCGACACTGCCGGGGTGATAACGATCTACTCCGACATTTACGTGTACATTAATGTCGTCCTCAGATCTCTAAAAAATCTGGGAACAAGATTACGAGTAAATGTGTGTGTTTAGCTATATATTTGGGCCTTCCCAGGTTATACTTCGATATGTGAAGTACATGCTCGCGTGTTCCAAAGAAGTTTACACATCAAGGTAAAAGAATTTTGTAACGTCCAACATAAAAGAATCCCCTTCCCCCCTTAATTGTTAGCCTTGCTTTATCTCTTCTTGTTTGTTCGTGTAAAAACGTTTACTTCACTGGCAACAAATTGGCAAAGATTTTCACCCAGAAAAGAAATTGATGACACAATGCACAGGCTTCAAAAAACACATTTTAATATCAGAACTGTGATCGTTGTATACTTTATCTTATTTGTCATTGTTTGTCTACCTCTAGTCGATTATTTTTGAATTAACGAGGCCACCCTGCATTCGCCGAACTGTTCTAGTTCGGTTATCTATAGCTTAGATCGATCTTAGACAAGTGGCACACAAATTCTACTCCTTGAATATCAGCACCTTCTGCTCCTGCCTTTGTATCAGTGCTTATAGTTCAGAAACAGATAACTCTTTATTTTTACAGACCTCTTCTAACATCAAACAACGGTTTATTCTATACACAGCCCTAGTCTTGTGTACCATTTTGAATTTTATTTTATTGTTGTATGAATCTATGATGTCGAATGCTTTCTTTTAAAGGCTTAGCAACCACAGCAGAAAAGGAAACAGGATGAAAAACAAAATTTATAGCTAATTATGCCACTAGGAATACTAATCTATGTGCGACTTATTCCTGTTAAATAAGATAAATTTGTTAGAAAATTTTCAACGTGGCCAAATATCTGTAGTCATCGACATGCCATTGGTAGATTGTTCTCAGAAACGCTGCATCCCATTGGTAGAAAATCCTTCAACGTTCTGAAAATTAATAATAATGGTGATGATGATAACGATAACGATAATAATAATAATAATAATAATAATAATAATAATAATAATAATACATAAAAACGATGCACACTTTTTTATAAGAATACATTTCATCAGAATATCGAGGATGAAATTTGCGAAATTAAAAGAATATTACAAGAATAAACCCAAGGCTGATATTTGAAAAGGATAGTATTTAACAATTATTCCTTGAGCCGGAATGGGCTCTGAGTCAATAGCCCATGAGGCTATTGACTCAGAGGCCATGAGGGCTCAAGGAATAATTTTTCTGGTAAAATCCAACTAATTGGTCAAAAATATCGAGAATAAAAAATTTTTGCTAGTTAAAAGCTAGACTTTAAGCCTTTTGCCGCCAAAAAGCCCGCGGTTTTCGCTACTAGGGGACTATAACATATAGCCTAGAAGTAGCACAACCAATCAGACCGCAGCATTGATAATAGACCACTAGCTGGATTTTACTAAATATATTTAGCCACAGCTAAAAGCGAAGCTCCCGTTGATGCATTTTAAATTTACTGCAGACAATGGACTTTAAACTATTGAAAATACCAAAAATCTTTACTTAACTTTAAGGGAAAACCATAGGACTGAAAAAAATAAACTTGAACCCGCGATCAATTAAAAGCTAACAACTGGTCAGCGGAAGACTTCAAAAACGCGTGACCTCAATGAGTTGGCACCTGAGCCTATGATGCGGTCACGTGACACTGGTCAGCGGATACCCTGTTTTGACACTTGTCAATTGACCATAATATGGTCTAATATCAGGTTAAACGCTAGCCTGTAGAGCAGGCGTTTTTTTAATTTTAAAAGCGCGACCCAGATCTACATGGAGGAGGGGCAGGCAAGGGGAGGGGTGGGGAGAAAAAGGAAAAGACGCCTGTCAGCAGAGCCTATGAATTTGCCCAACGCCCCCTAATTATTTGCGACTGACTGCTACTTCGGAAATGCAATTGCAGCCAATGAAAATCCAGATCCTTTATTGTTCCGGAAGCCACAAATTTACTTCAACAATAACGAAAATATAGCGTTGACAGGTCAAACACGACCCATAAGTTCGTGATAATGTGAAACGTGACCAAACAGAGAGAAATTTTGTTGCGGGCAAATTATATAATGCATGGAGTGTTCTAAAGTTTGACTGAGCAAATCTTATTTTTGAATTCTCACGGATACTTATCTACAGATCCGAATTGTAGCCTAAAATGAAGCTACAACAACTTAACCATGGAGAACTGCGCTGTAAGTCGGCAGGCAATATCATTCTTTAGGCACCGACACAGATTGTTTCTCCTGAGATGAGTGAATGTTTGGACTGGAGCGCGATATCCCGTCGTTCTTCCGTTGAAAGCAACATTGCAGTTTAGGAACTAAAGCGTTCCCCGTTAGTTCCTATCATGGTCAAGTCGGAAAAATGAAAGATGAGGCCAATAAATCTGGTCTCGACAATAGTGTAATAACGGCTTGCTTTTGCTCTGATCGATAAGCTATAGGCGTAACCCAAAGAACCGAAAGCGTTCCCCCAGGGCAGAATCAAAATTTTCAAAATCCGGATGAATCAGGATATTAAAAATGTACCGAGCCGAAGGCCTGGAAAATGTATGTTCCTATGTGGCCTTGATTGACAGCTAGCAATCGAACTTCCGGAACCGCACCAATCAGAACTCCCGTCTATCCAGTGTAAGGCGTTCGCCAAACAAACAATGGCTGCGTGCAGGCCTATTTTTTCCTCCCCCTCCCCCATTTTAACGCGTCGAGCACTCCCTTGGAATCTTTTTTTGACTCGTCTCAACTCTCGGTCAGTCGAAAGTCCAAATCGATCGCAGAGCAAAATACACCTGCTTTGCGCGCTCGTTAAACGCACTTGTTTGTTTGTGGTGCGGACGGACGGGTGGACGGGCTTACGGTCACGCGATTACCAAAATTTATCGGATGGATAGATTACCAAATTTTCTTAGGTATGTGGCTCCGTTCGCGTGCGCGTGGAGCTCCGCCATAATTTTGAGTTGAACTATGCTTTTAACCTTACCATATAAAATCGGCAGGGAGAAAAAAAATGAATATTCACCCTGGGTCGGTAAAACAATATTCTTAAGAAAAGAGTGAATGTGTTAAATTCCGGTACACCTGAACATACTCATTTTGAACTAAGCCTTACCTGGACATGAGTTTTGGACAATGGTCTGCGCTACGGGAGTAAGGTCTGAGAAACTGGCAGCTGTAAAGACGTTGTTTTTTGAACTGGCTATTGCATTCAGCTGATCTTGGTTGACGTTTTTGCCGATTCCAAGAGCATACAATATCACCTGTTTGTCCTTGAGTCCCTTTGAGGCTTCTGAAAGCGGAGTATAAGGTCCTCGGTTTGTTGTCTGCTCCCCGTCCGTGATAACAATAGCAATCTAAGAAACGAAAAAAATGATATCAGTATTGATAATTAGAGAAACAGGCTCATCGGGGAAAAGGATTTTGTCAACAAAGCTACCATCATTTTGTAAGAAGTTTGTTTACAAACGACTTGAAACGACCTATCAACACCAGGGACGTAGCATGAGATTTTGAAGGTGTACACAAGGGAAGAAAAGTTGGAGAGCCTTTACTGTGGAAGTCTGGTTGCGTACTTCCCCAAAAAAATGTTTTAAATTTAGGGTCTCGAAAATGCCATTTTCGGTGTTTTGCGGGAGAAGTTTTCAGCAAATAAATAAGAATAACAATTCACTAGTTACTTAATTATTTTACCCATCTCTCTAGGTTTCAGTGCTAACGGGGGAAAGGGGGAAAACAGTGACGTCATCAGGAGACGTCTACCGTTCAGAGGGGACAAAGACACTTAATAGAACGCAAAAAAATTGATCAGTCATCCTGATTCAACTGCAATTTTTTTTTCCAGATTATACCCACCAGCGTAAGGGAGTACCGTATATGTACGCTACACTCCTAAACATGTCCAAGTGCTTTTCTAGAATATTAGCCCCCCCCCCCCCCCCCCCCCCCCCCACCACCCCACGGGCCTGGCCGCCCCCCGCCCCCCCACCCCCCCAACCAAAAAAAACTATTAAATTATTCAAAGACACGTATTCTTTTTTTTTTTTTCTCACCTCAATTCTTTTTTTTTTTTTTTTTTTTTTTTTTTTAGGGAACCTCTACCGTTCAGAGGGGACAAAAACACTAAAAAAAACGCAAAAAAATTAATCATCCCTCCTGATTCAACCGCAATTTTTTTTTCCAGTTTAACCCCACCAGGGAAAGGGAGTACCTAATTTTAACCCTCCCCCCCAAAACATTCCCAAGTGTTTTTTAAAAAATTTGCCCCCCCCCCCCCCTCCCCATATCCAATCAAGGTTGGTGTCGAAGCTTCCGCAGAGCCATTTACCATGATGCAAATAAATTCTTTTACATTACGCAAAGGCGTCTTTTGTCTTACGTAGCATCGATACTTAACTCTTTTTTCTTTTTATTTAAATAGTTATTTTATGTCATGTAACCAAAAGCCTAGCTCCATTTATCTGCCGTGATAGGATATACCCCTTGCAGATTATACGATTAGAATTAGATTTGGAAAGATGTTGAAAGAAATAAGGAATTAGTGCTTGGTACTTAACTGCACAAAGACAACTACTGAGACAAGAAACCCATCCGATAATATTGTAGGTCTAGTACGTATTTTGGTCGAACCTCAAATTGTACCACATAACCACATGTACCGTTTTCCCTTTCAAGACGATATAAAAGGAAAAAGTGCGTGTGGCATACACTTTTCATACCTGTGGCAAAGCAGGCCTCATTCCAAAATTGGTGGAAAATATTTGTTCATTGGCTAGCTTGAGTGCTTTATCGATAAAGGTAAAGCCTCTCTGAAACCTAATCCCGTCGATTAGTCCGTTGTAACCTTCCTCTGACACTGCGGATCCCGTGAGCCTGTTAAATCTGAACTCGACTTTGGCAATCGTGCTGTAAGCGACCACAGCGATATGAGTCTTTTGTGGACCAACATTAAAAGCTTTCACCATGTCTTTAAGGAACTGGAGCATTTTCACCCAGTTTCTTCTACCAATACTTCCAGAGGAATCTACAATGAATGCGACGTCTGCCACAGCTTTACAAACGAATTCTGTAGACGGCAAGAAAGAGAGAGAGCGAGATAGGAAATATGCCATCAGAATAAAGTGAGAAGGTTGCGACAATTACGTTGATAAGCAGAACCGACTTCTATAATTCGGTGGTTTTTCTGGATTCTCCTTGCTATATCTGGATTTGTTTTCAGTACTAACGGCAGCCTTGCAGTTAATATTTATCATGACCATAACATTTTTGCGTAATGGGACAGTACTCGTCACGCCAAAGTAATTGGAGAGTAAACGCCATAACGCGTGCGCGTGTGTACTTTTTTACAATCTGCAGCCAAAAACTCCCGGCAGAGCTTGTAATCAGAGTTTTGTTCAGGTTGTGTACAAGCTAGGTTATAAATACTTGGTAACAGAACTTGGTGTCACCCAACAGACCCTTTCATGGTTTTTATAACTGTCGATCGGGACCAGTAAAGAGGACAGGATTGAACGCTCCCTTTAAACATATCACCTCTAAGCTTGGTAAGTTTCTTAACTGAAAAGCTCTCGTTCCAGCAGTGTGAATGGATAAGTAATTCGCTTTTAAACAAAACTTGGAAAATCCGTAGAAAGGTCTATTCGGTGTGTATGATCTTACCCGTAGTCAAACAGATCACAGTTGTCCGATTTGTCTAATCACTACAAATGATTACAGACCGATTTGGATTCAACTTATTGCTTTCATAGCTCGCGCATCGTACAGAAGTTGCTCTTAAGCTAAAAAAGATAGAGAGTAAAGAAAAAAAAAGTTATAATCACTCACCTGTTGGCACTGGTGTGGTAGGAGGCACTGTTAAAAAGACAAAAACCCAATTAACGATTACCATTCACCAATTACTTAAGCACAGTACAAAGTGCAGCAGTTTAGGACCATTACAAGGAAAGGGGAAAAACTGTAGAGTCAGAGGGGTTTAATGAGCAAAAGCGTGATCCACAGGGCTGGTAAGTACACGCGGAGGGGGAGGGGGATATCTTTCATAAATCTTCGGCCTTTCGCCATCTTTTCTTGAATTGATGTTAAACAGCTCTAACCCGTATTACGAATAGGCCTAACCTCTCATAGGCTCCTAAAGTTTCTGTTAGATCTCCTCGCCACTTCCGTTTTTCTACTTTTCCTAGATCATTTGCAATTTCTGTTATTGTGTGGCAAATAAACAGCTCTAACCCGTAGTACGAAGAGGCCTAAAATCTCGTAAGCTCCTACAGTTTCTGTTAGATCTCCTCGCCACTTCCGTTTTTCTACTTTTGCTATATCATTTGCAATTTCTGTTATTGTGTGGCAAATAAACAGCTCTAACCCGTAGTACGAAGAGGCCTAAAATCTCGTAAGTTCCTACAGTTTCTGTTACATCTTCTCGCCACTTCCTTTTTCTACTTTTCCTATATTATTTGTAATTTCTATTATCGTGTAGCAAATAAAATTTAAAAAAGCGGAAGAACACAATACCTAGCACACAGATGCCTGTCTTTGCTTGAGGAGCTTTGTCATACAGGTCCTTAAAAGAGTCCACCCTTAATACGTTATCAGGCCCAGACGCAATTTGGTTAAGTTCTGTGGTGTCCACGTCCTTTCCTATACCCAAGACAAACACTGGGGATCCTTTACTTTTTAGGCGATAGGAAGCTTCATCAAGAGGCGTGTATGCTCCTTTGTCTGTCGTCTGCTTTCCAGCCAGAATAACAAGGACAGGCTGCAAAAACAAAACCAATAACTGAAAGCACTATCGATGTAACACCCTTGGTCGGTTATACTAGCCTTTGAATTTTAAAATAGGTTCTTTTTTAGTGTTTCGCTTAACGATGAACAACAACAACACTGTTACGCATAGAACGTATTAATGGCGGAACACCAGGAACAAGATTGGTCAGAAAATTTGGTTATTTTTGCATCCAAGAAATGACAAAATCGTCCGTCCGTCCGTCCACCCCCACAAGTTAGCGGATATGAAATGTCACACTCTCTGAAGTCCAAGGCATATACCATCTGTGTTTTAAACTAGGTAATGGACATCCACGTTATGGTCAATTGACAGCTGTCACAAAGGGTATCCGCTGACCAGTGTCACATGACTGTATCGCGGCTTCAGTTATAGGACTTACTATGCAAGTGACGTATTTAACGTCATTGATCACGGGCAAAGGCCCACCTTTTAAGTAGAATTTAGTTTGTTTTCTGCTTACGGCAAAATTTGAATTACCTAAGAAAATCATTTCATAACAGATCACTTGAGAGCTTCGCTTTTGGCCTTGGCAAAATCTATATGTTAGACTAATCTGGCTTACCAGGTTTGGTAAACAGTGGAATTCTTTTTACGGACCCATCAGGTCAGGCAGGCCAGTTCCGACTGAAGAAAAGTGCTCTTTAAAAACAATGATCAATCAACAAGTCACTTACCCTTGAGACATCCCTCATTCCAGCAGTAGGGATCAAAACCTCATTGTCTGCCAAGTCCAGGGCTTTATCAATTCGTCTAGACCCTCCCTGACACTCTAGCTTGCCAACCCTCTTGTTGACTTCCTCTCCATTGAGAAGGCTTCCCTTTAACGTATTAAACTTGAGAGCCGCCTTGGCACCAGTACTAAAAGGGATAAGAGCAATTCGTCCGCCAGATGGTGACACATTAAAATGTGTAACTAAAGCTTGGATAAAGTACAGTAAACGATTCCAATCACTGTCGCTGTCGCATAAAGATGAGTCGATAATGAAGGTGGTATCCATAGGGATAGGACATATTGCTCCTGGTGAATAGAAAGAAGATTTATATAAAATGCGATACATGTAGTTAAAAATGTTTCCAGCAAAAAGCAGTTGTGAAGATCCCACTAGCAGTTTTTCTTCGTCCATTTATCCTGTGAATCTAATTCATAGCTTTCTGAAATTTGCCAGAATCCTTCCTTTAAAAGAAATCCTTTGAGTGTTCTACTACTAGCACGACCTGGAATGTCGGACCATTCATGTTTGTTTTTACACCCTCTAAAACAATTTGCGAGTATCAAAAGACAATATAACAGGCTATCTCATTGATCTAAACACTTGCTATAATTACAACCAACTTGCAGCACATCTCAGTTTTGAAAAACGTTATATAGCGAACAAGAAGTCAAAACCACTTACCAGGGGTAGGAGGAGGTGTTGGCTTTGGACAAGACTCTTGTACAATTGGTCTTACCACCTCAACGAGCTCATCGAATCCAGCAGACCTAAAGACGTTACTATCGGAACTAGCAATTTGCCGCAGCTGCACTAGGTCTACATTTTTACCAATGCCCAAAGAATACACTGCAACTCCCTTGTCCTTAATGCCCTGAGAGGCTTCGTTCAGTGGTGTATATCCGCCAGTCGTGGTTTGTGCACCATCGGTAATTACAATAGCAATCTGTTGAGATTATACAAATACCGCCTACCCTTAATTGGATATAGAACTGATAACAAACATGGCAAATGGTACTGCAACTACGTACAATTATAAGCAGTGAAGTAGAGGAAAACATGACAACCCAAAGTATTATTTTTTTTATCAGGAGAAAGAACTTGCAAGAAACATAGTCGATGGCAACTATACAACTTGTAAGAATTGTTTATGCATAGTTTATTGCTTAGTTCGCCGAGAGCATCTCTAGCTTCTTGAGAGCTACCCCAGTTCATTTAAAAGAAAAACTGAAGCAAATGTAGGCATGTATACCTTCGGCACATCTGGTCTCATTCCAGCACTTGTGACAAACACTTGTTCGTTAGCCAATTTCAAAGCCTTATCGATGTACGTAAAGCCTCTCTGGAATCTGATCCTGTCGATACGTTTCCCATATTCCTCTGCAGTAATTTGGTCTCCAGATACGACATTGAAAGAAAACTCGAGCTTCGGATTTGTGCTGTAGGCAACTACCGCCACATGTGTGCCATCGGGTCCAACATTGAACTCGCTAATGACCTTTTTTAAGAAGTCCAACACCAGAGGCCATTTTCTACGACCAATACTTCCTGATGAATCCACAATAAATGCCACATCTGCCGATACCTTACACGCTAACAATAAAAAATAACACCGATTTTCTTAATGACAAAATTTACCACTTTTTAAAATCTCTTTAGGTTTAGACATACCACTCGTTGAGAAAGCATGAATGATACGGATACGTTACATGAAATTATGAACGTAACGTCACACTGAAATTATTGAAACGGTCTCCGTGTGTAATTTCGATTTCTTTACGTTATTCGCGATGCAGTAGAAGGAAGAATAAGCCATTTGCACGATGACGTCATTTTACTACTTCGACCAGAATCCTTCAGGGGTTTGCTTTCTTGTGCAAATTAAGGCTTTCGTTTTTGTGGCTACCGTCTCCCTTCAGGGAGCGTAGCCACTATGTCATGGCGTTGTGCGTAAGTCCGTAAGTCCGTAAGTCGGTAAGTCCGTAAACTTGCACAGGACACCCACTATCTTTGTCCGGTTGAAATTGTGGCCGCGCTAGCGAAAAAGCTGTTTTAAAAAAAATGCCTTTGGCGATGCATTTCGATGCGACTTCATAAAACGTCTCTTTTACATTCGCTAAACCTGGTTGTCGAAATTTTATTCTCCTTTTATTTACAGATTATTGTGTCAACCACTCCTCTTCAGCGTACCTCGGCTACCACGACCCAAGCTAAGGAGCTACGAAACCTGTCTTTTTTCCTTCTTTTTTTTTTTCGCTGTTGGTTAATACATCCTTTTTTTACTGCAATATATTCTACAAAATTAATACAGCAGCCACATGCATTCACAGACTGCCTCTGCCCCACATTTCTTTGATCGTGTACCTGACGATCGCGTGGGTTAGGGCTTACTGGAATTTGCGAAACGAAATGGAGCGAAACGAAGTGAAAATCTGTAGTTTGCGGAATGAAAATCTGTAGTTTTCGAAATAAAAATCTGTATTTTGCGAAATGAAAATCCTCTGGAGGGAGAACGCTGACTTCAAATTCAGGCTCCCTTGGTCGTAGTAGTAAAATGACGCCATCGCGCAAATGGCCTATTTAATTGCTGGTTTACACGTGACGTCATGGCAGCCATGTTGGTGGTCAAGTACAAAATAATTTTTATCCTCTGGGAACTAAACTCCATTTACATGTAAAATTCTTTGAAATGATTTCTATCGCATTGACCACCAACATGTCGCGTGGTTGCAAATCAAGAATACACAACCAGGAAGCACAATAAGGTTAAAATAAAAATTGAACAAATACTTAATTATCCTCTCCCCTTTAGGGGCCTTTCAGGGGTGATAAAACAAATAATTCACACGAAACATAACAAAGTGAGAATCCCAACTGGTAGGAGGCGAACCAACTGCCTATTTTACAAGAGTGGCCGAGGATTGTGAACTAGAGACTACCGAGAACAAATCCAGCTACCAGTTGGGGCGGAGCTAGAACTCGAGACCTCTGGATTACAAGTCTGGCGTTCTAACCGCTCGGCCACGCAGCCTCCCTTGAATGTTTTATTTTTTCCTAAAACGATATTCTCTCAAAAGAGTGACTTGCGGCACATCTAAAAAGCAAAATTAACCATTAAAAACGTAACATGACGTATGGCCTCATGTCACCATTGGAAAATGCCAAAAAATTTGAACATATGGTATGAAACATACAGGTAAAGTAAATTGACCAACAAAATTCAAGAATTTTCATCAGAACCTTGAAAGTCTTAAGAAATGCCTTGGGAAGCTTGCGACCGACACTAAAACACTCAAGCCAGCTCCATCCGTGTGAAGCGTTCTACTTAATTGTCAATTTCAAACGTTTTGACGCTTGAATCTAACTCACGAGTATTTTTTCGCAGATCCTCTCCATATATCGGCACGTTAATTTCCTTCGCATTTGACAATGATTACATAAAGGCTTCATTTGCACTACAGGAGAATTTTCCTCGTGCATGACGAATCCGGGGCATTTTGGCAACGGATTTGTTTTGTCGTTTACACACAGATGAATAAATAAAAAAGGAATTTAGTCAAGTGTCAGCCGAAGATTTTGAGTATCTGAAGAAACACTTCGCATCCAAATGAATGTTGCCTGGTTAACTGCTGTGTTTAAAAGACTGCGCCGAATAACCTTAATGTAGTGAGAAATCCAGAAAAGATTGTGAATCCAGAGAGCAATCTCGTCTACCCGAACTCATCGAAATGCCAATTAACATTTTATGTTTTCTCTTTTCGTTTCTGGTGGTTTCTTTGAATATGTCTTTCAAAATCCATCCATAACAAAAAACTCTTCGGGAAAGTGTATCGCGACAACCATATTACTATACAACATACACTTACGTCCCACTGTAGGAGTTGGTGTTGGTGTTGGTGTAGAGGAAGTTGGCACTGCGCGACAATAGAACAAAAAACGTTCATTAGCATAAGAATAATCTATTTAAAAAAACATCTAATCAAACTAAAAGGTAAAATATACCCGCATAGATTTTCCTCTTACCTTCTCCCCCTTCTGTGCACGGGTAAAGCACTTATAAAATTTCATCTTAAAATAAACTCAAACTTAAAAAACCACACATAACAAAATGACAAGAACTTTAATTATATCAGTATTCATATCCAACAAAACTTTAATAGCTATTTAACACCTTACCGTACAGCTTACTACACGTATGCCGAGATACAAAAAAAAGCAAAAAAGAAACCCATTTCTGACAAAGTTTTACCTAATTTGCATATTCCCTTTCTTATCGTCGGTACTCTGTCGTCTAAGTTCTCGAAAGAATCCACTCTAAAAACGTTGTTACGACTAGAAGCAATTTCATTCAGTTCTGAAGTGTCCACGTCCTCGCCTATACCCAACACAAACACGGCCGCTCCTTTACTCTGAAGGCGAGAGGAGGCTATATCCAGAGGTAGGTATACGCCCTGGTCTGCTGTTTGCTTTCCAGTCGTGATCACAAATACGGGCTGCAGAAAAACAATAGAAAAATACAAAGTCAGTCTTTTAATCTACCAAGTGCCTCCTGTGTTCTTGGTCAATTTGTGCGCTTATTCTTCCTTCTCCAACATACCCTTGAAATGTCTCTCAGTCCAGCAGCGGGTGTCAGCACCTCCTTGTTTACAACATCCAATGCTTTGTCGATTCGTCTGAAACCACCCTGGCATCTTAAGCCATCAAGTCGTTTCTTGACTTCTGCTCCATTAAGATTAATTCCAGTTAATGTGTTAAACTTCAGAACTACATTAGCATTAGAACCGTAAGGGACAAACGCAACACGACCTCCTGACGGTGACACATTAAAATAGTTGACCAAAGTTTGCACAAAGTACAACAAGCGATTCCAATTGCTCTCACTATCACACAGAGACGAGTCAATGACGAAAGTCGTATCCATAGGGATTGGGCATATTTCTTCTGAAACAGAAAAGACAAAGTCATGTAATTAGACTCAAGGTACAAGGCATATTTTTCGTCCAATCCGGCCAAGACCTACAGCCATGCGGCATTCTCTACAGGCCTTGCACTAGTTGCAGATTTTCTTTTACGTCTGATAGCCTACGAGGATTACAGCGCTATTTCCACAACAACTGCAAACCACTCGTTAAGAAGAAAAGTCATGTACAAAGTGCATACAAACCTCATATACCACGGAAATCACTTACCTGGAGTTGTTGGTCCCACTGTTATCGTTGGTGTTGGAGGCACTACAAAACAGAAACAAAATCAGATCCCGCGTAATCATGTCGATTAGGGCGATAATGTGGATAATCAATGCAGGAGATTCAAATACCTAACACACATATGCCTTTCTTGGCCTCGTTAGCTTTGGTATCCAAGTCATCGAATGATCCCACGGTAAAGACATTATTTGGTCCAGAAGCAATTTGCTTAAGTTCCGAAGGGTCAACGTCTTTCCCTATACCAAGGACAAAAACGGCTGCTCCTTTGTCTTGGAGACCAGAAGAAGCTATATCAAGAGGCGTGTACACTCCTTCGTCTGCTGTTTGTTTTCCAGTCGTGATCACCAAAACAGGCTGGAAGGAAACAAATCAATAACCCACGTTTTCAGTCCATGAACACGCACTGTTACGGTGTTGTTCAGTGTGAGCTACAAAGTTGTTGTTTTTTTCAGGGTATTTTAACTATTTATTTCTGGTCACGGACTTGTGTAGATCAACAAGCTCCGGTCCAAAACCCCCTTCTAAATACACAGGCCATTTCCCTCGACTCCCCAAGTTTGATTATCAAAAGCTGTCTTCATTAACAGAGTCAATCTACAGAGAAAAAAAACTACAAATGCCAGTTGAAACGTGTAGTAATTCAGAAAATATTTCTTACCCGTGATACATCTCTCATTCCAGCAGAGGGGATCAAAACGTCTTTGTCTGCTAATTCCAAGGCTTTATCGATTCGTCTGGATCCTCCCTGACAGGCTAGGTTGCCCACTCTCCTGTTGACTTCCTCTCCGTTGAGACGGTTTCCAGTTAATGTATCGAACTTTAGAGACACTTTGGCGTCCGAGCCGTATAGAATCACAGCAATACGACCTCCTGATGGTGACACATTAAAGTAACTGACCAACGTTTGCACAAAGTTCAGCAAGCGCTGCCAGTTGCTGTCGCTTTCACACAACGACGAGTCGATAATAAAGGTGGTGTCCATTGGAATTCGGCACAATTCTGTTGAAATTAAAGCAGATTCTAAGCAAACTTGCGAACGCTAACAGTAAGTAGATTCACACGTAAAACATAAGATAGACTACCGGACTGGCCAAATCAACATGGCCATGCATGACTTACCTGGCGTCGTTGGTCCAGGTGTAGACGTTGTTGGCACTGAAAAGAACAAACAAAAAGTAATGCAATTTAGAGAAGGATTCCTAATCCGTCTCTTTTCAAGTTTGCAAATTTGCATTTTAGCGATGCGCTAGGATTTAAGGTATCTACATGTAACTTTTCGGAAAGTGCTAGTATTTCTTAAGGATTAAGGTAATCAGAAATATCGACCAGAAGAAGGCCTTATTGTTGCACACTACTGTAATAAATGTGTAAAGTGCTTATTCTATCAAAGGTCGAAAGGTGACACTTCCACCACAGAGTTGTTGCGGCGGTGGTGTCAAAGGAGGAAAAGCAATGGAAATATGGTGATGGAAAAGGCAAAAGAATAGAAATGCGGTTTTAGTGGTGGTTGAGGGCAAAAAAAACTATATGAATGTGGTAGTAGTGATGGAGGAGGGAAAACAACTGAATTGTGAAGGTGTTGATGGTGATTTTAGTAAAACTTGAGGTGGAGAGAAGTAATGGAATTACGGAGGGCTGTGAAGCTGAGAGGAATACCTAAATAAATGTTTTTTATGCAAGAAAGAAACAAATACCCTTCGTCCTTACAAATATGTACTATTTTCGCCTAAATC